TATTCCCCCTGGATATTCCCTGTGGATATCCCTGTGGATATTCCCCCTGGATATTCCCCAGGATTCCGTTCCCATTCCTGTCCCTTCTCCCTCCAATCCCGCTCCCGCCCCCTTCCTGCTCCTCCTGTTTCCCGGGAGATTTCTCCAGGCTGAGAACTCCCAAAATTCCGGAAGCTTTTCCCTTCCCAAGGCACCGAGACCAAGGAATTATAAAATTTTAAAATTATAAAATTATAAAATTATAAATGTATATATCATTAAACCCGGAAGAATTATCCCAAATTCCCACGGATCTCCTGGAAAGCCGGGAATAAAAAAACCCCCTCGGTGTTTTTCCAGGGAATTCGGGCTCTCCCAGCATTCCCATGGATTCGGCTCCATCCTATTTTTAATTCCAAACTCCCCCAGCGGCTCCGGCCGCTCCTTCCCGTGGGAAGTGAGGGGGGGGGCGGATCCAGGGAATATTCCAGATCCTTCCCCCCCCAAATCCCAGGAAAAGTCTCGGATGCCTTTGGGCCCCGGATTCCCGGGAATATTTACAAACTTTGGAAAAGCTTATCCAAGGTTTCCGGCTCCTCCGGCGTGGGAGGAGAATCCCGAATTCCTGTCCCGGGATCCAGGAATTCCCTGGAGCTCCCCCCCCTTCTCCCTTTTCCTGCCTCGCCGTGGGAACGATTCCCATCCCCAAATCCCACCGTTCCCTTTGGATCGCCGCAGCTTTTCCCGGAATTCCGGAAAGCCAAAAAAACATCCGGGAAAAGTCTCTTCCCTCTCCAAATCCAGGGAATATCCAGGGAGCGATTCCCGGGATCCGCGTCCCATTTTGGCCTGGAAAAACCCCGGAATCGGGGCCGAGCTGCTCCTGGAATTCCTTTGGATTTCATGGATCGCAGGAGAGCAAATCCACGGGGAGAGCTCGGAGGGAGCACAAGGAATTTTGGGATAAAATCATGGAAAACTTTTCCCTTCCCTAAAATCCAACAGCGAATTCCCAATCCTGCTGCAGCTGCTTTCCCTTTTTTCCGGGATAAATCCCACTCCAATAAAATCCCTGGGAATGAGGCTCCGAATTCCCAGCCTGGCTTCCAAGTGCGGCCCCGCATTCCCGGGAATTTGGGGTTCTTTGATCCCGACTGTGGATTCACATCCCAAATTCCGGCCTGGGCATCGATCCCTGTCCGGAAGGGCTGGGAATTTCCTGGGATTCTGGCACGGATTCTCCCTGTTTTCCCTGGACATTCCCAAATCCCATTCCAGGCTTTGGGGAGGGATCAGCTCCCAGCGCCATTCCCGATATTCCAGCCTTTCCCAATCCAGCCCCGGGGCTTTTATGGGATCATCGATCCCGTTCCCGGAGCCCACTGAGGTCATTCCGGAGCCTTCCCAAGGATTCCCTGGAATCAGCCCGGCCTTGGATCCCTGATCCCAAATTCCGAGTCTGGGATCAGCTCAGGTTTGGATCCCTGATCCCAAATTCCCCGTTGGCTCCTCTGGAGTTTCCCCCTTTGCTCCAGGTCACCAAATCCAGCAGGATCCAGGGGCTCGGGATCGCTCCAGGGGCAGAACCATGGGATGGGAGAGCGGGATTGGGAACGGGAGAGCGGGATCAGGGATCGGGAATGGGAGAGCGGGATCAGGGACCGGGAATGGGGGGG